GAAAAGTTTCTAATGAATCTATCCTGTCTGATAGATTTAAGTAGGCCCAAAATCAAGCTCACAATCTGACAATTGACCATGACCCATTTTGTAGCATATGCAGCTGCCTCCCACAAATCAACCAAGTCTTCTCCTTGAAGCATTATGAATTAAATGAATGCCATAAAACATGCCTGGCCAGAAATGGTTTTCTATTAGAATATAGTAAGAATTGAAGACTAAATAAAGCAGAAGGGTAGGCATTGGTGGATACTAAATAGAACCAGAACTACTAACCCATTTTCTCCAATATTTCATTGCACCAAAAATGAAAGTAAAAAATAAAAATTGAATAAATTAGCATGTAATTCATGTAATTCACTCATAAATTTGGTTGCAAGCAAGAAACAGACATTAAAGGTGACATTAAAGGTCAGAAACTCAACGAATTAACAGCTGATTCATATTCGATTTAACAACTAAAATTGTGCAATAATGCAACCGATTAGATCCTTTAGAATAGAATTTTGCCAGATTAACAAGCAGTTTTTAAAAATTTTCAAAATTTGAATATTAAAAAAATATAAAGAAACAAGAAAGCTAAAGTTTGAGAATTTACCAGAGAAGTGAGAATCTTTGATAAGCCGCAGGAAACAACCGTTGGCACTTTCCCTTTACATATCTTAGTTTATCCATGTTGGGTTGGACTTTGGGCTTCTAGCAATTTTTAACAGTGATATATTTATTCAAAACCCCCTGAAACTTACAATTTGTAAGATTTTGTGTTGTACAGAAAAAAGATAAAATAAAAAAAAAATTATAGTACCAATTAGGGGAATGCTAGGGGTAACTATTTTTTAGTAAAAAATATAAATGGTGTGGTTAGGATATCTCAAGTTTTGGAGAATAAGCATTATTATCAATGAAAAATTAAACATAAATCCATGTTGTTACTTGTCACATAGATTGTTTAACTCTAATGATGAAAAATTCAAAGATAAATTCAAAGAAATTACTAAGTAACATATATTCCATGAAGAAAGCCAAAAGAACCTTTTTATTGGGATTTCTTTAACCTCCTCCATCATTGACTTAATTGATGGAAGTCATATTTTAATTTTAATAAACTTTGTTTAACAACAATTGTTTTTTTTGAAAAAAAAATTAGTGTTTGAGTAATTTTTATGATATTTTAGAAATTGTAAACCTTGTAATCTGTATTATTATATTATATAAAATATTATATTTATATTATATTTTACAATCAAATTAAATATCATAATTTTTATCGATATAAAAATATAAAATATAATTTTTTTATTTTATTAAATTTATTTTTAATTATTTTTAATTTTAAATTATATAATTTTTATATTTTTTATACATATTATTTTTATTTCGTATCATCGTTTCAAATTTCAAATTATGAGATTTAAAAAGGAGGCCATGACAAATAATTAAAAACTAAAGGAGATGTTTGTAATATCCCTCGGCCTGTTAAACCCGGTACAATGAAAAGCCCAACGCTCAAAACCCGATGGCAACGGCTAGATTTTAGTTATAGAAATGGCTACAATGGCCGAAGTTATGGCCTTAGCAGGGATATTTCACCGCTATTCCCACATCACCTGTGGATCACCGAGGAGACTTTACCATTCTTGCAGGGCTATCTATAAACCAGAGGTCCAAATCAAAGAGGAAGGCCTGCCTCAGACCCTTCATTACTTGATCACTCTGGCAAAAAGGTCACTTGTTTTTTCGTTCGTATCTCAACATTTTATTTCAAAATGGTTTTTTTTTTTTTCTTATTTGGGTTTTGACTGTTTCTTTGGGTTTTTATGGTTATTCTTTAAATTTGTGTGCTTTTTTTCCTTGTCTAGCATTGGAAACTGACATGAAGATTAGGGTTCTGAGCTGATTGATTAATTTTGTGCAGATATCTCCTTGGCATGATATTCCATTGCATTTGGGTGATGGAGTGTTTAATTTTGTTGTTGAGATACCCAAAGATACTAGTACCAAAATGGAGCTTGCTACTGATGAGCTATACACTCCAATAAAGCAAGGTACAAAGAAGGGAAGAATTAGATACTATCCGTGCGTTTTGCTCTTTCATTTTTTAATTGAATTTATGATGTGGGTGGGAATTTTTGGGAAGTAGAGATAAGTTGTTTGCTACTGAGATATGGATATGAGTAGAATTTATGAAGTAATCATACATCACTTAGATCATGGTTCATTGTCAAACAAAGAATTCTGTAATGCTCAAGTGAAAAATTTTTGTTTTGTTTTCGTTATAAATTTGAATTCTTTCTCAATGTTATTTTTCAGTTTCAACATCAATTGGAACTATGGATTGCTCCCTCAGACTTGGGAGGACCCATCATTTTCAAACCCGGAAGTTGAAGGAGCATTTGGAGATAATGACCCAGGTATATTAGCTCTCACTTTGTTCTGTTCATGTAACCTTGCCTCTTCTTAATGCGAAACAGATTTTGTTTGTCTTTAATTGTTTTCCAAACTTTTAATTGAAGGATTGGTCAGATCCTAAAGTTTAAGCCCCTAGCTGCTTTAGCTATGATTGATAAGGGGATTGGAAAATAGTTGCAATATCATTGGATGATCCAAGAGCTTCACTGGTGAATGATGTTGATGATGTTGATAAAGATTTTCCCGTATGTCCTGTTATCTCAAGCTGCACCTACAAATTTATCAACATATGCTTTAGTTAGAGAAAATGGAGCTTATCATTTCGTGAATATGATTCCAAGTTAAATATTAATACAGCATGTCTGTGCCACTTATCCAAAATTACTAATTATTTCATTGTTCAATCAAGAAATAATCTGCAATAGGTCAATAGCATCTGTGCCACACTGGTGACATTGTGTTGGCTCTTATCTATTTTTACTTTAAAACTAATATCTTTCCTTTTTACCTTGTTTACGCTTGTTTTCTTTCTGCTGTGTGTTTGGAAGGTTGTCAGGACACTTTCTCCTGTAACAACCTGGCCATGTTTTCTGTTTTTAGTTAACATAGCACTTGACCTCACCATCTATACAGGGTACTCTTGTTGCAATTAGGGATTGGTTCAGAGATTACAAAATCCCAGATGGGAAACCTCCTAACAGGTTTGCTCTTGGCAACAAGGCGGCAAACAAGGTAGATTCAATTTTGTTTATATTGTTATTTTGTTTCTTAAGGGTCTAATTTTATTGGGAAAAAAAAGGGCTTTTCATTTCACCATACTGTTTTTGTTCCTCTACTAGCTGAAGTTAACAACAAAATTTTCCTCTCAAAAATTTAAAAAATGATCATATAACTTTTGCCCTCTAGGAGGGGAAACAATGTCTGTATGTTCACTTGGTGCTATGGCTTATTAACTATTTCCTCTTTAGTGTGAACATACTTCTTTGCCTCACATAACTTCTTACCGTGTAGCTTATGTGCTCAACGATTCTTGATAGCCATTTTAAATTGGTTTAATATTATGCTGGTTTGCCTCCCCTTTCGAAACTAGAAAGTTCAGATACATTTCAAATTGGTTAGTTTTTAACTTCCGGATTTTAAACCTAATATGACAAACAGGATTATGCTTTGAAGGTTATCAAAGAAACTAATGAGTCATGGCAAAAGCTAATGAAGAGACCTATAACTGCTGGGAATCTTTCTCTCCTCTAAACTAATGCAGTTAATCTGATTGTGTATTTTGTTATAGAAGATAATGCATGAAGAAATAATTTCACTTTTTTTTTTTTTTATATTTGGGGGATTGTGGGACTCAATTTTTGCTAATTGAGTTATTATGCTTCATATTGTCCAATTATGCCTACCTTGCATAGCATCTTTTTGATTAAATGTTCTTCCCAAGAAAAAAAAGAAACTTTTATAGTTACTTGTACTAAAAATTTATTTCATGTTCTTACAGCAAGGCTAGATTTTACATATGGTTTGAATTTAAAGTCAATGTTATTGATATTTGGTTTGAATTTAACAGTATTTATTGATGGAACAGAAATTAATTAGATGATTTTTACTTGGCCTGATCTTTAATACTTAACTAATTGTTCTAAGCATATGTTTGGATTGAGGGGGAGAAAAAGAAAAAATCATGGTATGGATTACCAACCCACATTGGAATTGGTAACATGAGCCATCACCCCATGAAGAAACTCAATGGGAAAGGTCCCAAGAAACAAGCAAGTCTTGTTATTAAAACCACATTTTTCATTTATATTGCCATGTGCAAAGCTATGTACTTTGTTCAAATGTGCAAGAAACTGATCAGTTCAATTCAATCCTATCATCTACATTGGTGGCTCTTGGTATGTCACTAGGTGCCATTTTTAGGTTCAATAAGATCCCAATTTAAAGAGAAAATGTTTTCCAATGTTTCCCTATTCTTCAAAAGAAGCATATTCCTTTGTTGCTCAGCATTATGGGCCCAGATTTACACCCTAAAAATCAAAATTAGAAGACATTTATATATGATAAATCTTTGCCATTTGCAGAAAAACTTATTACTATTTGTTTTTTTTTTCTCTCAAAAAAACCAAAAGAAGTTAATTGATGTAAATGTTAGACAAGTTGAAGTGAACTACTTTGTTGGTGAGATTATTTGGTCAACCCTAATATTTATTTAAATTCTATTTTCATGTCATCTTTCATTTTCTATCATCAATCTCAAACCAATATTTAACCAATTTTAATTTTTGTTAAATGTTGATAGATACATCATGACATTAGTTAAAGTGATATTTAAAGAAAAAACTATAATTAATAAAATTTTTATTCTTGAATTTAACAAAAGTGGTGCATTAAAATAAAATTTTTTCTAAAATAATAATTGAATAAATCTTAACCAATATTTGTAGGGTTTATTTTTATATATTTTTTAGATAAAAAAACATTATATAGTATTTTCGAATAAAAATACAAGAGCAAAAAGAGTAGGTGGTTGTTATATTTCGTAAGTACAATTAAACTCAAATAATTACATTTTTGATTAATTTGGAAAGATTACGTATGCCACATCACCCCCGACAATAATAACTACAGAATGCCGGCGGCAATTCATTTCCATTCCACAATATCGCCACGTGTTCTTTCCCATTTGCCGCACTACGCGGCGTAACTTGAGAAAAATTAAAACCCTCCCTGGAAGACGAAGAGTTCCTCCGCCTCCGCGCTCAAAAACAAAAATAAAGTTCCAGTTCTGCCCTTTACTTCACTAGATCTCGGCCCTTCCTCTTTCTTAAAGATCCGATTATGTATTTTTATTATTATTTTTTTAATTTTTGTCAACTAATCTAATGGCTTCGATCCGTCGAACTCTCTCACCCGCGTATCACGACCGTTCTTACCAGAACGGCGCTGGTTTCTCCTCTCCGTCCAACAAGCTTTTACCCAATGGAAACAGTAAACATTTCTCCTCCTCTTCCTCGTCAACGCATTTACCGTTGTTATTCACCGCCGTGAATTTAGTTTACTGTAGAGGATGGAGGCGATCTTTTTGCAGGTGTCTCTTCTTTTTCCTGATAGGATTTGTTTGCGGAATTTCTCTGTTTGGACACGTTGATTCTGATATCCAAGCCAAGAATTTCGCTTTTCCCGAACTGAAACCGCCACATGTCAACCTCCAATTGAACGACCAGATTGTTGCTTCTGTTTCATTGGGCGTTAATACGAGATTGGAAGAACAAAAGGAAGTTACTGATTTAATTGAGCCGTTAAAGCAGTTAATCGTCGTTACGCCGACTTACAATCGGGGATTCCAAGCCTATTTCTTGAACAGGTTAGGTCAAGTTTTGAGGTTAGTGAAGCCGCCGTTGGTTTGGATAGTGGTGGAGGAAAAAGTGGCGTCGTTTGAGACTGCGGAGATTTTGAGAAAAACCGGGGTTATGTATCGGCACGTGGTGTCCACCCGCAATTCTAGTAACGTGAAGGACCGAGGGGTTCATCAAAGAAACGCCGCTTTGGAACATATTGAACGGCATAAGCTTGATGGGATCGTGTTTTTCGCCGACGACGACAATGTCTACACGCTGGAGTTGTTTGAAAGCTTGAGAACTATTAGGTAATTTGAATTCTAATTTGAATTTTATTTGTTTTTGGGGAATGTTGTTTTTAAGATAATTAATGAGGATTACAAATTTGGGTAAAAGTGGGTTTTTGTAATGAATGTGTTGGGATGTTAATAATTGTTTAATTGATTTTATTAACTTTTTGTTTTGGTGGGCAGTGGATGTATTAATGGAAAATGGAAATGATTTTGGTTTTGTAGTTGGTGATTCACTATCTGAAAATTATTGCCATTACCTAATGCATTAGTACCTTTTGTTTGTGGATCAAATCAGCTTGTTACCTCTTTGTTATTTGATTAACTAGATCCAGTTTCATTTTCATATGACATCCGAGTCATATAGCTTGAGTCGTCCCATGTTTTAAGCCTTTCCTTCATCGTCTGTTTATTGTAGTCTTGGTTGATCATGTAATGTCATTTTACCAGTTTATCATGAGATTTTTGAATGATGAATTAACTTAAAACTGTTAGCTCACTAAAAGTTTTCCCTTTTCAAAAGGTTGATGAAGATGTCCATAACTGTTTATATTGATTTTCTTAGCTTGGTATTTATAACTTGTCAATTCTCGATTGCTATATATTATTTATAACTTGTCAATTCTCGATTGCTATACATTGAATTCCGAGTTTGTCTTGTTCATCAGTATGTTACAGACTTCAGAGAGCTCTTCAATGGCATAACTGTAAAGTGATTACTATGAATTGCTTCATCTTCTCCTAATCTTGTTATTATACACAAATTCATAATATGTATCTCCTTGTGTTGTAGCCGTTTTGGAACTTGGCCTGTTGCCATGCTTGCACAAAGCAAAAACAAGGCAATTCTGGAAGGTCCAGTATGCAATGCAAGTCAAGTAATTGGATGGCACACAAATGAGAAAAGTAAAATACTTCGTAGGTTTCATGTTGATATGTCCGGATTTGCTTTCAACAGCACCATCTTGTGGGATCCAAAGAGATGGGGACGCCCCTTCTCAAACCCAATTCGACAGTTGGACACAGTGAAGGAGGGTTTCCAAGTATGAATCATACTGTTGCATTTTATATGATGGCGTTGAAGCTATTGTGTAATTTCTCTAGAAATGCCACATCATGATTCTTGGCTTTGCTTACTGTTTCTTCTATGCAGGAAACTACATTTATAAAGCAAGTGGTGGAAGATGAAGGTCAAATGGAAGGTATACCACCTGGTTGTTCGAGGATTATGAACTGGCATCTCCATTTAGATACTGTTAATCTTGTTTATCCCAAAGGCTGGCTACTTGAGAAGAATCTAGAGGTTACTCTGCCTATTAAGTGACGGAAGCTCATCTCTACAATTTTTTTGATGCTGAGGGCATAAACGGGTATGAGATTTAATTCTGCATTTAATTTAAACTCTCTCTTTTTTGTAATCTTGACTTTTGTTATCAGAGAGATTTACCCCCTGAAAACGGGGGAAAACAGAAATACACATGCACAGGTGTCAAAGATAGAATTAATGAAAACAAGTGGAGATCAGTTATCTCTCGAGCTGTTGATTTGTTTTGAAGTTTATGTTATCATATTTTTTACCTTTGATTTTAGTATATATATGTAAATAGTCTTATGCTGAAGAGTTCCTGATTGTAGCTATTTTCCTGTCACAGTTCTGCCCATATTTTTGTGCTGGTGGCACATTCGTTCAACTTTTCTGAGCAGATTTGTTGCAATCGTCATCATATAGCAGGGCCTGCAGATATCCATCAAGCAGTGACAAAGAAACAGAAGATTTGTGATTTTTTATTTTGTTTCTAGAATTTTGTAGCGTGAATATTCTTACAGAAAAAAATTCTTGTAGATTTTGGGTGTTTTGAGTGTTTTAGGGGATTTAATTTGTTAATTTTCAAGTACCCTTACATTCCCCCCTCTCCCCTGCTCCACAAAATAGGTGGTGTATATGGGGGGTTTGTTGTGGATCAAATTGTCTATACCATGTACTTAGGTATTGTATCGAAATCAAAGGCCATTTGTTACTTGTCCAAAGAGTATTTTCGTTTACCTAGTTGACGTTTTTTTTGTTTTTATTGGGATGAAGCAATAATCACAATAATACATAAGTAATATATCGTAATAAATTCACAACAATAGAAAATAATCAATAATAAAAAATATAAGAAAAATAAAGCACATTAAGATTTATGTGAAAAATCTTCTAATGTAAAAGAAAAAATTATGGATCGCTAGAAAATTTTCACTATCAAATAATGGATATACACAGCTCTTCTCTAGCTAAAACTAGAGTTAATCAATAACTAGAGAGACAATTTGAGAAATATTATCAAATAGGTAATCAACAAATACATTCTGGATTTGTTCTTAAAGAGCTTCAAATTCATTCTTCATCATTCAGAATGTAGAATTTTGAATCATAAACTTGTTGACAAAGTTTTAGCTCAATCGGACTACGGATCGACTTCCATTCAACCAACTCTCCATTCTCTTTTTTCTCTCTACTTTTCTTGACTTTTCTTCTTTTTCTTCTTGGTTTGCGATACCACCTTAAATAACCTCACTTTTTTTTTTTAAACAGTTAAAGCTCTATGTAAAAAGAAAAACCAAGGCCCATGGCCTTTACTTGGTCCAAAACTAATTACATGGGGCGGGATCTCATTTTTCTAACAATCTCTCCATCCAGCCCCATTAGGAAGAGATTCATCACCATAGCAGTTTCATTTGAAACTTACATTGGCCAGAGAACTCATTCTAGCCAAGTTATTATAAAGCTCAAGTTTTTTTTTGAAAAATGTCTTAGTCAACATATCTGCTACATTCTCATTAGTATGAACTTTCTTTAATAACATTTACTGTTCTTCAATCATTGAATGTAACCAATGATATATAACATCAATGTGCTTTGTTCAGCATGGTACTTGACATTCTTACTCAAATCTAAAGCACTTTGGTTATCACAAAATATCACATACTCTTTCTGATTCAATCCCAATTCAAGAAGAAAATATTTCATCCAAAGCATTTCTTTATCTGCTTCGATTGCTACAATATACTCAACCTCTGTAATTGACAAAGTAACACACTTCTGTAACTTAGATTACCATGACACAGCTCCTCCTGTAAAAGTGAACAAATACCCTAAAGTAGATATCCTATAATCAAGATCGCCTGTCATGTCAACATCAGTAAATTCTTCTAAAACTGGTTGTAAAACTTCATAAATCAAGCACATTTTTGAGGTACCCCTCAAATATCTAAAAATTCATTTCACTGCTTCCCAGTAACCTTTCCTGGATTAGAAAGAAATCTGCTCACTACATCAATTGCATGAGCAATGTCAGGTCGTATACAAACTATAAGATATATTAAAGAATCGACTGCAGAAGAATAAGGAATACTAGACATAGCTAGTTGCTCTTCTTTAGACACTGGATAAGATTTTTTATTAAAATAAAAATGCTTGGCAAGTGGACTGCTAACTGATTTAGCATATTGCATGTTGAATCTACTAAATACTCGTTCAACATATTTTTTTTATGATAGCCACAACTTTTCAGCTCTCTTATCTCGGATAATGTCTATACTGAAAATCTATTTTACTGGACCTAAATCTTTCATATCAAAAGACTTAGACAATTGTTCTTTTAACTTGTAAACCATACTAGTATCTTGTCTCACAATCAATATATCATCAACATATAATAAGAGAATAATGAAGTTACCATCAAAAATTTTTTTAATATACACACAAGAATCCACTACAGTTCTTTTATAGCTATGACTCACCATAAAAGAATCAAACTTCTTGTACCACTGTCGCGGAGCTTGTTTCAAGCCATACAAGCTTTTCTTCAATTTGCAAACTAAGTGTTCTTTCCCTTTCACTTCAAAACCCTCATACTTATTCATATAAATGTTCTCCTGCAAGTCACCATGTAAGAATGCAGTTTTAACATCAAGTTGCTCAAGCTTAAGATTTAAACTAGCTGCTAATCCTAGTACCACTCGAATGGAACTCATTTTTACAACTGGAGTAAAGATCTCATTTAAATCGATGCCTGATTTTTGAGAAAAATCTTTTACCATAAATCGGGCTTTGTACCTCACTAGTTTATTACCATCTTTTTTCAACTTGAACACCCATTTATTTTTTAACGACCTTTTCTCTTTTGAAAGTTTAACAAGATCATAAGTATCAATTTTTTTGTAATGACTTCATCTCTTCTTTCATTGCTTTTAATCAATGCTCTCTATCCGGAGTAGTCTACACATCTTAGAAGTTTTTTTGCTCTCTCTCACTAGTAACTAAAATAAAATTTAAACTTGAATACCTGGTAGATGGCCTGTGCTCTCTAGTAGATCTTCTAGGCTGAGACTTTACATCACCTAATACTAAAGGTAACTCTTCCTGTTCAACACTTTTAAGTAAAAAAGATTGCTCATCCTGCTCAAAATTAATTACATCTGGCTCATCACTAACTATGGCTGGCTTATTCATATCTCCAAGTTTTATTTCTTGCTCATTTTCACCATCTGTGGCTCTTTTCTATGGAATCTCTATTAGTGTTAAAATATCACACTCAACAGTAACCCATGTAGTCTTCTTATTTTTCTCAAAATCTGTCATAGTTTTTTTTTCATGAAAGATCATATCTCTGCTTCTGACTGTCTTTCTCTTCATTGGATCATATATCCTGTAGCCAAATTTTTTATCACCATATCTTACAAACACACACTGTGTGGCTTTACTGTCAAGCTTTGACCTTTACTCTTTCGACACATGCATGAATGCTTTACACCCAAAAACTTTTAAGTGAGAGTATGATCTTTCCCTGTCCACACTCTTTCTGGAATGTCAAAGTCTAAAAAAATTGATGGTGACCTACTAAGCAAATAACTGACTGTGTTGACTGTTTCACCCCAGAATGGCTTTAGTAATTTTATCATCCTTAACATACATTTGACTTTTTTTACAATGGTCTGATTCATTCTTTCAGCTACACCATTATGCTGTGGTGTTTTAGGTTCTGTCATCTCATGCCTGATCCAATGCTTTGAATAATATTCTTCAAAGTCTTTGGATGTGTATTCCCTACCATTATCAATTCAAAAATACTTCAAGGGTAACCCTATCATCCTTTCAACTATGGCATAAAATTTTTAAAAATACTATAATACTTAGCTTTTATTTTTTAACATATACACTCAAGTCTTACGTGAAGTATCATCAATAAAAGTAACAAAATATCTACTACCACCTAATGACTCAACCTCAATGGGACCACATATGTCAGAATAAATTAATTTTAATCTATTTTTTCTCTAAAAACTCTTACGAAAAGAAACCCTATTATGCTTACCAAACAAACAATAATTACATGAATCGAGAGACATACCTTTGGTTAAGAGAATGAGAAACTATCTTACCAAAATCTGTAACCCTTTATCACTCATGTGTGCCAGCTTTTTATGCCATAAGTTTATTGAAGCATCATCTTCAACGACATTTACCTGATTATCATTCAATTGCAACCATGTCTTATACATTGTGCAGCATAATTTTTCTCTTGCAACTATCATAGATCTTTTGAGAAGCTTCCATTACCTATTCTTTTATCAACTTTCATATCCCTCATTATCAAAGACATTAATAGCAAGCAAGTTCATTCTCATATCTGAAATATGTCTGACATCCCTCAAAGTCAACATGCAGCCTGTACTAGTTTGTATAATAATATCATTAATCTCAACAATTTATGATACACTCTTATTTTTCATCTTGGTATAACCAAAGTTTCCTACTTTGTAAGTTGTAAACAACTCTATTTTAAGAACACAATGATATGCCACTCCTGTGTCAACTATTCACTCAATGCCAGGATTACTAACATGATTACAATCACTATGTGTACAAATCAAAGTAATTGAATCACTATTTGAATTCACTGTTGTAATATTATCATCATCTGAACTCTTACTTTTCTCATTTTTTCGCTCTTGCTTCAAGATTTTACAGTGTCGTTTTATATGACCTACCTTATCATAATGAAAACACTTCATTTTATATCTGAACTTGGATATATGTTTAAACTTACTACGACTTTTTGAGTTTTGATCTCTGTCGATGTTTCTACCTCTGTTCTCCGTGACCAGAGCTTGATTCTTAGGGTCTACATTTTTGTGCCTTACTTCTTCATTAAGCATATTGTCTTTTACTATCTCCAATATCACATTATAATCAGGAGCTAAATTAAAAACAATCACAACTAGAGTATTCCAACTGTCTGATAATAAACTTAAAAGAAACAACGTTTTTATTTCATCATCTATCTTAAGCTTTATAGTAGTCATCCGATTAAATATATCTTGAAAATCATTCAAGTGCTCTGTAACAGATCGTTTATCCCTGTACTGTAAAGTTATAAGTTTTTTAACAAGCATAACTTTATTCATAACTATTTTTCTCTCATACAATGCTGCCAATTTTTTTCAAACAATGTGAGCATCTGACTCCTGGCTACATGATGGAACATGCTGATATCAACCCATTTTTTTATTGTAGCCAGCATCTTTCTGCCTAGCTTCTTTTAGCTTTATCTTTCATATCTGTTGGTTTAATCGAATCACCCAATACTAGTTTATACAAATCTTTGTAGTATAGATGATCCTCCATCATAAGCTTTCAAATTGAATAATTCGATACTGTCAATTTTATCGTGAAACCTGTATCACCTTTCACGATCTCAAACAGAATTTACTTCTGTCTTGGGTTACTTCTGTATCAATATCTTAAAATAACTCTCGCTCTGATACCAATTATTGAGCCTGAAGCAATAATCATAACAATACAGAAGCAATATATCGCAATAAACTCATAGCAATAGACAACAATCAATAATAAAAAATATAAAAAAAATAAAGCACACTAAGATTTACGTGAAAAACGCTTAAGTGTAGAGAAAAAAATCACGGATCACCAAAAAAATTTCCATCATATGCTTCCAAATTGAATAATTCGATGCTGTCAATTTTATCATGAAACCTGTATCACCCTTCATGATCTCAAATAAAATTTACTTCTGTCTTGGGTTGTTTCTGTATCGATGTCTCAAAATAATCATTGCTCTGATACCAATTGTTGCACCTGAAGCAATAATTACAATAATACAGAAGTAATATATCGTAATAAACCCATAGCAATAGACAATAATCAATAATAAAAAATACAGAAAAAATAAAGCAAACCAAAATTTACGTGAAAAACCTTCCAGTGTAGACGAAAAAATTACGGATCACTAAAAAAATTTTCACTATCAAATAATGGATATACAAAGTTCTTCTTTAGCTAAAACTAGAGTTAATCAACAACTAAAGAGACAATCGAAAAAATCTTATCAAATAGGTAACTCAACAAATATACCATGGATTTATTTTTAGAGAGCTTCAAATCCGATCTTTACCGTTCAAAATGTAGAACTCTAAATCATAAATATGTTGATAAAATTTTAGCTCAATCGAATAATGGATCGACTTTTGTTATACCAACTCTCTCTTTTCTTTTTTCTTTTTGCTTTTCCTAACTTTTTTTTTCTTCTTGATTTGCGATATCACCTTAAAATAATCTCATTTTTTTTTTATTAAGCAATTAAGATTCTGTGTAAAAAAAAAAAAAGACCAAATAACAGCATTTACTTGATCCAAAATCAATTGTATTGGGCTGGACCCATTTTTTTAACAGTTTTCTTCCGCAAGTTGGACTCATCCTTAAGAAATTGGGATGGTTGAAGAGGTCTTGCATGTTGACATCTGTTCTACTATATTGGAGAAAGAAAGCGATTTATTATTTCCATTATGTTCACACTGCCGACACTGTTAATTATTTTTTCTTGGAGAACGGAAATGTTCTTGTTACAAAATACATAAGCTTGTTTGCTGGAAACCAATTCGCATATTTTCCCCATTCAATTTCAAATATTTCAGGGTTCAGATGGCTTGTACGGCACATGGTTGTAAAGAACATAATCAAGTTGCAGTTTCCTCGAAATTTTGGAGTATTGTCCCGTAAAACAGAATTATTTCATCGATATTTTCCTCATTTGATGAAGAGGAGAGATGTGATCGGATAAAATTTTATGGCCTACCAAATTTACTGCCATTGACTGAACAAAGTTTCATTCATACACAACGGAAAAGACAGAGAAGCTAACATGAGGACAGGTTTACCTGTCAAAATAAAATTATGAACACTTCTGCCGACTAGTTTGTTAGTGAAAAATTGGATTTCTGTTTCCCAGTCTCTTACCGTCTCAAATAAAAAATATTATTTGAATACTTCCCCGAGGAGAATATGACAACTTATCCCTTTATATTACTAGGCTTGAGCCAATTGACGTTTTGACATTCATTTTTCCTTTAAAATCGAGCTCAACCTAAGATTCATTGTTATTGAGAATACAGGGTCCCCAGGCCGAAACAAGGGAACCACCGATTATGACCCTATGCGCGTTGGAGGTCTATCAACCCCAATATAATACACGTTAATTACATATGCCAGAAAATTGGGGGAAGGTATTCTCAAATTTTCAAAGAAGAAATAGGACTAATGTGAAGGAAGCTATGGTACAATTTTCAAAGCAAGTGGAGGGAAGGGACATATCCTCTTGAATGGTGACTCCCCTTGCTAGAAATGCTGTATCATGAGCAACTAGTTATCAGAGTTGTCATAAACGGATTGAACCACGGTCATATGATACACCCATTCTTACATTCCTTGGTGAATCAAACCCTTGCATGGGGACTGACTTGGTGATCAAATCCACGTTAAGTGCTTGAGGTGCAGCTGGTCAATTTTTAAAATCTGAACAGCTTTGAATTATCATGTCAGAGTTGCTCCCTGAACTGAAGAATTGTCTGTAGGATGCAAGGTTGACAGATGTGGTTGCTGCATATGTGAATCATTTGCAAGACCAAGAACAGCAAGTGTTGACCTGCCAAAATGTATAAGCAAATGGTTAACGAGTACCACAAAAAATCAAATAAATACGAAAAACTTGAACTAAATACCAACAAATCTAATGAAAGCTTGAACTAAATGCAAATTGGTTCAGGAACACGATACATCATGAATTCTCCCAATAGTATTTAGGTGAAAGCATCTTATGATCCAATTATTTGTTCACAATGCCTTGTTAATAGTAATTGCACTAACGCAAAATATAAGCATTCAGAAAGATCTATGAAATTACTAGTTGAACCAAAAAGAAGAAAAAGAGTAGAAACCAGTATTTTCTTTCATTTTCTTTTCCAGTTTTTGACACAGCGAAGGTTCCCAATTAGAATCTACAGAACTGTACCTAGGCAGTGAACCTTTTGTGGTCGGTTGGCTTGCATAGGCAGCTAGGGAACTTCTGAGACTACCATATTTATTCAGTGCACTTTCAAGCTGTGGCGGGGGTAACTGCAATTACCAAACAGGAAAAGAGAGGTGTAAACCTAAACATAATGACCACAGAGCCACAGGATATCCTTATGCACTTGGGAAAAGGGGAGCTTATATGTAGTAGATCCTGCGTTACCTGTAACAATACAGGAAAAGAATGTGGTTGTGTCTGAGCCACACACTTCAAGAACCCAACCCACAACTTTGGCATTCTCCAGACCTACACTCAACAAACAGACAGAATATCAGTTGCCCCCCCTCTGGCAATCCTATTAATAAACTAAACCAGCGTGATTGTGCAGTTCTGGTTTCTAAACCTTACAAGGCAAATGATAGGTTTCGTTACTGACCTGTTTACTCACAAGTTTGGATAGGATTTCCATGACAAAATCAACCTGGATACAACACGTAATAGGGCTCAGAAAATCATTGGGTCAATCTTTGTATCATTCTCTGATTTCATGGATGACATGCATTAGCAATGGCTTTTCAGCGTAAAAAAATAAAAAATTCTATTCAATAAACCCTTATTCACACAATGAAAAGAAAAGCTAACAAAATCAACACAAAAAACTTGATCATGCAGTCATGCTCAGTTTTGGAATTGTGAATCTCAAAGAGGCTCAGCCAGAAGTTTGTAGCAAATGATTCAATAACAGATAACAACGTTAAAATATGGTATTTTTTTTTTTTATCAGGTCAAGAAGGTTGAACTTGCACAAACATTCAAAAGCAGATTGAAACTGCCAGACAACTTTTTACTAGGAAGTGGACATGATTTAGAACCAAAATGAGAATGAACTGAATAATATTAAGACTTACCAGGGTAGGAAAAGCATCAATTGCCTGAATAACTGTTCTCATGAAAAGTAGAGGAAGGGGGATCTGATCAACCTGAGTTTTATCAAGGAAAGGAAAACATTACTACAAATATATAAAAGAAAGGTATGAACCCCAGATAACAAAGTGCATATACATACCATCTGATTCAAGGCCTTTGCTAAGACCTGCTGTGTGAAAACCGTGCGCTGTTCAAAACAAGCTGAGCAAGCATCTGTTATCTGGAAAATTTTTAAAGAACCATACAGAAATATTAACTACGGGAACAGTGTAGAAAAAAATACAAGCATCCATGAATCCTCAAAATGAACAATGCTTTGCAGAGTGTAGTGGTCCAAAGTTGTATTCCATCTATTTGGTTAAGTATGAAATTAATCTGTTTATGCACACGTGGGGTACAAAATATCATTAATAGAGCCAGTCAATCAGGAGGGAATAAGTCTATTTGATTAGAAAAACCTCAGATCCAGTTGGAGAAACAACATACCTTTTTGAGTGGAGGGCCACCTTTTTCAGGAATGATGTCATGGATGGCAACCAACACTTCGGCAGGGGTCAAGGCAGGTCCAGTATGAGCTGAACCCTGTAAGAACCAAGAACCAAAGAAAAACCTTGAATTACAATGTCTTTCTACAAATCAACATTTTAACTCTTAAGACTTAAAAAATAAACATAAATTAGGACTCAACTTGATGGATACTTTTACCAGCTCTTTTGCTTCGGATAGAAAAAGAAAGGAAAAAGTAATGTCTGGATTCAGATGCAACAAATATTGCTGAAAATTTTGAACTTAAAAACTAACTTTTGCGGATAGGTTCCCTTTAAGGCACATCTATCATGTTTCAGTATTGTCATTTGTTTACTTGTTCTTAACCAAATATAATGTAATTTTCTATAGTAAAATTTGAGAAATGAAAAGGGAAATATAAAACCTCTTAGAAAAAGTGCAACCACAAGGGACCTAAGTTTTGAAAGTAAGTTCACTTTCCCAAGGAGAACAAACTAAAACCAACATTGGAGTTGCACATAAAGCTCCAGCTTCATGTAATGAAAATGCACAAGTATGATTATTTTCAGATGATGATTTCACAAACCAAATAATAATTAAGGTCCTATAAACAAATCTTGGTGAAGGAAGAAATTAAACTCAAGATGCTAAAATCACTATCTTCAAGATTTGTTGTTTTTAAAAGTGCATTGTTTCTTCCTTAAGAATTATAAAATGACATAGTAATATGAAGTTACTTGAAAGAGTACACAAACACACAGACCTGACATGTCCTAACAATTTGTGTCTACAAGGGGAAAATGACTAATAAGGAAAAACATTATCACAATTAAGCAAAAAAGAAATTAAAATAATTGCAAAAATAGAGCATCCACATTTACCTGTAATATGTGAGCCAGTGCAAGCTGGAACTTTTCCAATGGAAGGTCAACAAGCCGAGGGAAAATAGGTAACACCTGAGAAAAGTTAATGATTATAGTCAACTTGAACAATGCCACTTTTTCAATTTTAAGCTATTTAGCTGAAAGTAGGAGTCATTTCACGGAAGTGTAATATGAAATCAGATCAACACCACTAATAATTCATCTTTTCTTTATGTTTGAAATGCTCATACACAGTCATGCTAAGTGATTAAACAAAGAAAGAAAAAGAGGAAAATTCAGAACAAACCTCATTCTTGGAAAGCGATGATAACATTGGAATAAGGATGGTAGCATCCTGCAAGTAAACAGTCATAAGCAAGGGTTCATGTGGCAGAAATATAATAATAGGAAAGACAGTAGGATAGAAACCTTCAGCTTAGTTTCATATAAATGCTTCACAGTAGCTACTAAATCAGGAGAAGGAGTTGTCTCTTGAGTCAGTATTTGCAGCACCTTGCCAGAAAACAAAACCACTATCAGTGTCATTCAAGAATAAACAAAAGAAACAGAGTTCCAAAGCTGAAATAGATTTTCACAATGGAAATGGAGATAGAGGGCCTACCAGTGTCAAAAGATTTTCACTTCCTTGTGGCGGGTCAGATATTATTAGGAGCAACTGGGAATAAGACTGACCTAAGGCTCTTATTACAATAGGGATATGGCGATGAAAAGCCTGCACCATTAACAAATAACGAGAACAAATGAAGGTATCACTAACGGTTATATTTATGATGAAATAAAGTAACAACATTGCTGAAAAGAAAGTTCAATTATTCAACCAGAACATTGTTTCTCTGTAAAGAAAGTATCCTATATCCATGAAGGTTTAATGGAGCAAGTGACCAATCTAGACAGAATCTGGCAGAATCTCCCAAGTTTCTTATATAACTAGACATATGGATTGGCAAGTATTTATGGTTTACACTTCCCATATGAAGGTTTAAAGGCAGTCATTGATTCTCACAAAATTTCACAGTTATGTATTGAAAGAAAAGAGAATTTCACATTGAACCCTACAATTTCACTCAGCTGGGCTTACATTCAACAAGGAGGTAAGGTAAAACTGGCACCAACCAAGGACCAAAAACAAAAAGATTGAACTTCATGATAACTTGACCTAAATTAAACTCAGTCTTGATTAACAACCAAAGACCAAGTCACACTACAACTTATGCGGGTAACAAATGCTGTTACTATATTACTATCACAGGATCAGGTGAGAAGTTACAAAATCATGCAATATTTTCAGTGAAGCTAAATAAACCTCCCATCCACCGGAGAACAGATTACATGGACAAGCAGCCTAATCTAATCAGTTCCTAATAATTAAATGATGAACAATGTGGAAACAGACGAGAGATACCTGCTTTACAATTTTTGGTGCTCGCCCATAAATATCAAATGAAAGTTGAAGAAGACTAGGCTTCTGAAAAAAAAAATACATTAACATTACACAGACACACACCACAAACAGATGTAAAAAGACAGAAAGAAACAGTCAACAGAAGCAAACCTTTGTGCATAAAGCAAAAAACAGAGAAATGAGTCTCTGAGCTTCAGGAAAAGACACTACTGAAGCACTATTACTTGTTGATTCTGTATTCATGGAGTCAATTTCAGAAGCTCTGGGCTCTAAAAGTTGGGAGCCACTAGTAGATGTGTCCCTGCTTCCAACCTAAGGAATTTTCAGCAAGAAAAATTAAGTAGAGATAACAAATTTAAGACTGGCCAAAAGTACACATTTTTATGAACCAGGACATGCAGAAATGTAGGTTGAGCAGGTCCTTGTACTAGACTAACAAAGATGATATATGCTAAAAGATGGCTCAGATTCTCAGGACGAGGCACGCAAGAGAACTCATAAAATAGAACTTGGCAGCAAAAGCACAATACAGTCCATGCAGTTTTTAAACCTTGAAAATAAACAACAAAAATTGCTAATAACTTATGCACCAAACACCATCAAAAGCCCTAATATACTAATCCAACTTTTATCTCACAAATACTACATAATGGTCATAATATCCTTATCAGGCACCAGCTAAATATTGAAGTTTGGCACACTTGGAAAAGTAAACAAGAAGGGGCTTTTAGAACATATCCCTAACCTCCCTTTCGTCTCTTTCATCAATGGATCCAGACTTTAAAAGCACTGCACCTGCAGCATGTTGATCCACAGCAGACAGCAACATATTTGTTGCAAATTGCTCAATTTCCCCGGATATGTAGCTCAGCTGATAAAGTTTGTTTGCTACCTGAGCAATACAAACTTAGAAAACTGAGAAAGGACTCATCTTAGCAATAGAAAGCCAAAATCTTGAAAGGCTTGATAGCAGCAACACAGGATGTTATTATCAAGGAAGTTCTCTTACCAGCCGGATAGCTTTGCCTCGAATGTCATCTTGAGAATGAACGGCACACTGCCATCAGGGTATGAGTAACAAATATAAGAAAGCAACAAAAAGAAAATATAAATCATGAACAGAAACACAACTGAAGTGGGACTAAATGCATTCTATGATGCTTCACCACTCCATGTGGAAAATTATAGCCTAGAAAATCTGGAATGATATTTGTCATGCAAGTGTGGACCCTCCTACTGTCCCACAGGTAAACTTCAACAATAATAAGGGAGAATAAGACAGGCATTCAACAAATGTAGATTAAAGCATATAACCAATGAACATTTTGTTACTAAACTTTTGTCTTGGCCAACTTACCTTCAATGCTATACCTAAGCAGACTTGACGATTATTTGGACGTCCCAAAATTAAACTCCACACCACACCAAGGCCCTGTGTCACACGCTCAGCATCACGAATCTCTTTCCCAGTAACATCAAACACATCAGAATAGCAGAGATCATCTAACAGTTTCAACGCAGAGTCAGGCAGAAATGGAACTTCACCAAGAAGTCTGCTAACTGACTTGTCTGAGGCTGGAAAAGCTTCCAGCAAAGATTTGACCTGAAGCAAAGTATATTAGATAAATCCATTACTCAGGAAAAAATGATTACAAGGTTGGGTCACTTAAATAAGAGCTTACCACTGCCAGGAGAAATTTTTCATAAAGCACAGCAGAATATGAAGAGTTATCAATGGAATTTGAAACGGTGAGAGAATATAGATGGTAGAGAACTTGCAATACAATCTCGTGACCCTGACAAACATCACAATATAACATTATGTTACAAAAGTTTGAAAAGGAAGAATCAATATGTAAAAAACAGATATGTAATATAATTTCAGGATCTATTGAGCCCCATAAGCTCATTGGACCAAGACAAACAGCCTAGAACCACTATATTTGAATGTCAAAACAACAATCCTTGAAATTAGTACTAAACATGGATAACATCCACTATAGTAGGTATTGAGATCCATCAAGAAAATAAATTGAATAAACAAGAAGATTGGTTTCACACTTTCCTTCTAGACCAACAAATAAACAAGAAAAAAAATCAAGTGGAGGTAATGAAGACCAGAGGCACAAAGACTACACAGACAATCAAACAAGAAACAAGCAACAGCCATCAAACCAGAATAGATTAGTAGGATTAGCACACTGTAAAATTAATACAAAGCAAACTATCTGGCCAAACAAAATACCGGGTCCCAGACACCAAAGAAGCATAACACCAAAATTGATCAAACAAAATGTAAATCATGTGATAAACAGAACTACACAGCTGATTATGTGTGTGTGTGACAGAGAGATACTTTTCAAGCTATTATACCACCCTCTAGTAAATTTAAAAAATGTAGAACAAAACAAAAGGAAGATAAAGGACAAAACCAAAAGCACAAAAGAAGTAACAAATAACAACTTGAATACCTTTTGTTGTTGATAATCCACAACAATTTGTTTTCCCAACATGACAACAATGTCATCATCAGCATCAATCTGAAAGGAAACATAACCACGTGATTTTGTATATGTCATTTGGCATAGGCACTTAATAAAACATAGCACTGAATGCTATTAGTCTACAGATCTGAAATTTGTCAAATCATCCAACATAATTGTAGATGTTATTCATAGTTATGCAATGTAGTGAGTTTTCAAGAGCACAACTTTCAATGTAGGAGCATTTTAGTAAATAGTCAAGTCTAGGGCATGGGAATATCAATTTGGGATATGGGAAAAAAAAGAAGAATGTTAGCACATCCAGAAACGGAGGACATTACTTCAGGATATCCCTGAAAGGAAACTAATAGTTTCACTTTGGGACAAAGGTGCACATCTTTAGAAGGCTTTTGATCCATGAAATTAATTTATTTCAGGTTACTGAGACACAGATCTGTCATTCTTTTCCCGTTATAACTTGATCAAATCAAACCCATGTTATCCATAACCATAAGCCTAAGAATCCCTTATTTTCTTGAATCTATTCATATGAAAACACACTAGTAGTTTATTCCAGAAAAAAAGTAATACAGGTAGATCTACCTCAAACCTGTCCTATGTTAATAGTGGTCAATAAACAGTGCAAAGTGAACAGCATATTCATGAAGCACTTCAACTACAGTACATTAAAAAAATGGAAAAGTTTATACTATAAAAGCTGCCATCAACCTATTGGCCTTTGAGGCAGACTGCTATCCACAGAACCTTTGGCACGCTATCTATTTAATAGTTGAATCTCACTCCCTCTAAACTAGGTGCTTGTCTCTCTTCTCAAGTAATTTTAGATGGTGAAGGGAGAGGGTTTGGGCACACAACTCAAGCAGGTGGACAGAACAAACTTTCTGCCTTTATATAAAAATCTAAATCTATTATGATAATTTGCCATCCAGACATTATGCAGTATGTATACTGTATACTGATTTTAAGAAAGCATTAGCAGTTTGCAAAATAACAAACTTCAAGACTAAAAACAGTACAATGGTAAGTCACAGAGAGAGAGAGAGAGAGAGCAGCAGCAGCAAACATTCAGAGAAGAGAGACAAACCAGAATATATAGCCTGTTACCTGACCAACCAGCCGAGCAAGTAATGCCATGTGCATTTGGTTACCGTCTGACCAATGAAGATGCAGGTATGATTCAGCGATCTGCTGAACTGCTGATTTTCTCACATTTCTTTTCTGCTCTTCAGTTAGCTCAACATATAGTGGTAACACAGGTAAATCCTGACCAGTTTCATCCAAAGACGATATGCTTATAGAAGCCGGGAAATTCTGATCAGACTCTGGAAAAGATGATGCATCAGTCTCATATTTCACCTTAGCATCTGCCTTCATTTCAGCTGAATCTTCATCAACCATATGAGATGGAGAAAGTGCAGGATTGGAAGAAGCCTTGACCTCTAGCATGGGAACAATGTCTTCCGCACCACCCAGAACATCCCCTTCAGGAGCTGGTTGCTGAACACCAGAAACCATTGGACCTTCTACCATCTTATCATCACTTCGGATGTTAGACATTGAATGCACAGGAGGATTTTCAACAACTGGCACTGAAAGAGGCTTGCTAGAAATAGAACCATCAAACTCAGCCATTGCAGTGCCAGTATCCTCCTCCAGAACAGGTGGAGATGGCACTCCAACAGATACAGCAGCCCGTCGTGGATCTAGGCGACGGGGATCCTGAAAACGTTAGTGTTAACTTCCATCTCACTAAGTGGAATTATAAAAAATCCTAAAACTAGGAAAGGTTAATATTTTAAAAAGCAACAAATGATGACAGACAAATGTGGTTACCCTTCTTGGGTCACGTTTGGCATCTGCAGGAGAATTATTGGCAGCGGATGTATTCGATATTGATGAGCTGGTTGTGGCAGCTGAACTAAAGGGCAATTGTGCTGTGGAAACAGGAGGGTGCAGAGAATTTGGAGCAGGAGGTGGCACAGCTTGAGTTGGACTATTTACATAAATGGCTTGTTGAGTTATAGGCAATGCCCCAAGCCTTGTTAATGAAGGAGGACTTTTAGGCAAGTGCCTCATATTTGTGATGACAATATCAGCCAGTAGATCAGGATGAATTTTTGAAATAAGAATTTCAAGAGATTCAGCACCTCTTTCTCCTTCAGCAAGTAAAGCACCAATCATTGCAATCATTTGCTCAACAGGAGTTAAATTACCATCCGAAAGAGGCAGATTAGGAGACAGGCCATTAACAGAAGCAATATCCTGCCCAGAATCATTTATTTGAGTGGGTGACATTGAGTGGGAATTGGGACCAGAGCGAATTCGCTTGGACACAATCTCGAAACTATTTGTTAGTTCTTCATTATCCTGAGGCATAGATCTTTTCTTTGACAAGTCCCCTAAAACATATGCTTGGCTTGACGATTGATCATCCTGTCAAACACATTTTATTTGACATGAGAAACTGGTAAAAGCTACCAAGTACTATCATGTACTTCTTACCACTCACAGAAACTTATTACTACTATAATGTACTAAACAGTTTTTCAAAAAGATCATTACCCTGCCTGACTGAGTTTCCCGTGAAGAACGCTCACTATTTTTTATCATCTTTTCAACCTGTCTGATGACCTGATCAGCAGCATCCCCAGCATTCATTGCTCGTAGAACTCTAAGCAATCTGTCTCTTGACTGATCATAAAAAATAATGCCCAACTTGTCAGGTACAAGAGCACTGAACAACCGCTAAAGTTCATAATTACTGGCCTTACATGCATAAGTTTCATTTTTACATTCAACAAGCCAGGAGTTGTCAACAAAACCTTTGTAATACATATTTCCATTGGCCTTTTGGCCTTTGAATAATAATTCCACCAATAAAGCAATCAGTCATTTAGTGAGAGGATAGTAAAGATAATTAAAAAACCTAAAGTATTAGAAAACATTGAAATTCAGCTGCCAAATTCTTAGTGATTTGTATAATATAAATAAAAAATTAATTACTAAAAATATAATTTGCTCATGTAATTGGTATCTGCATTGTCCAAAGTTTCTAAAAAAATTACCTCTACAATAGCTGGATAAGTACATCTCAGGAATCCCAAAAATGCAGTTCTCAAGGAATACTGAATATTGGCATTATGCAATCCCCTCATTGTCTCAAAGTTTGCATTAAAATCGAGCAGTGAAGACAGAACAGTACCATAGTGGAGGGGTCTCTTCCTTGCTATGGCAGCTAGACTGTCAAACAAAAAAGGGGATTAGTTGTAGAAAAACAATAATAATAGTAGCTCTAGCAGTGGAAAAAGAATTCAAATTCCTCAACCAAACAAATAAAAGAATGAAAAATGTAATAGGTGAGATCTATAGCTATTTCTAGACAATAAAAAAAGAAAAAAAACATAGAGTTAATATTTGAGACATCTTGTTAAATGTGGCAACTGGTCACAAGTCCAGGTCAAGGTTAGCTTCTAATACCAATATCGAGGGTAAGAGTAGCACCATAGAACAATTAAGAGGAAGATCATTTCCAATTCACTAATCTTAGAAGCCCCACTTTGGTAGAACCATAATTTAGCTAATAACCCCTCTCCTCCCCCCCCCCCCCCCTCCTTTTCTCTATCGCTCACAGAGCTTTTAAGAAGAATGTAATCAGACGTACCCAAGCCCAAAGGAAACCAGAAAAGCAATTGCACACAGTAAGAACGGCAGAAAAATAAAGCAACACATTGTAACTCCAGAACAAGATAACTAAGAAAGGACTACAATAAGTATACAGAGACCTTCGCAACAAAGAAGAGAAAAAACCCTAGGTTAACCATCCATTATTGACATAAATATCTGTTTTAATCACTAGCTTTCGTGCAAGAGATAAATAACGTTTCCCTGAAATCAACTATTTATTTCAAAGCTCCCTGTCTCCCACATTTTATAATTTGCTCTGATAAACCACTGCAGCAAAACCAAGCTTTCTACTGACTGTTTCCAATACTTTCCAATAAAGCTCTCTATAGATCAAGCTAATTCCCCGCATTCATCCACATTACATCAGCAGAGCAAACATTTCTTTAGAATTGTATTTGAACTGTCATCGATAATAGACAGAAATAAAGCATAGAAAGCCTGTGACAGCAAATACTTGACCGTGGAGTGTACCAACCAACACCACCAGCAAAGAACATGTACCAACCAAACACCATTGCCCTCCCAACATCTCTTACGGTCGATTGTCAATATCACTGTTATCATAGCAACCTCCATCATCCATTTGATCACTGTTACTCTAAGTGCTTCCACACAAAACACCCTTTTTAATAATAAACTCCAAGAACGATGGATTTAAAAGAATTAAGCCATTTTAGGTTTTTTCAGTATATATTTCTAGATTCTCAACCAGAGATGTCAACCAATAGTCCAAATTGAACATGCTCTGACTAGGCAGGTTAAGATACAATTTTATTAATGAAATCTGCCTCATAAATGCCCAAAAGGAACATCATATGCATAACCAGGGAAAAGGACAGAGAGAGGCCTTCTTCCTTATGCTTTCTTTACTCCTTTATATTTGTTAACAAACCAATAAAGAATGGCCACACGTGGTGAATCAAAAGAGTAAATCCTTGAACAACTCAACCCTAATCAGAAGTAAAAATAATAAAATATAAATCTCCCCTAATTATGAAATGATTGACTCCCAATAACATGCTATTGAGATTAGTTCCCGTATTCAACAAGCCTTGCATTTCAAGAACACAGTTAAGATATCAAAGAGGTCAAGTTATGTCTAAAAGCATATTCATCACTCTTTTAACTCATGATCTTGATGGCACATAAAGCAGTCACTTTGTTGCCAACTGTTAAAATCATTTCCCCACAGAAATACTCAAATGGAATGCCCTTTAAAACATCATTAAACTCAAGCAACTTCAGACTTGAACACTATAACTTCATGGTTATTTTAAGCTACATAAAACATACATTCAAGTTAATATACAGAGACATCAACTAAAATAGAAGTCAACCAAAGGAGTTCAGGTCAGCATTGTTGAAACATACACACATAACATATTATGGAAAATAAAATGTTATTATTACCCCAAATCCAACAGATGACAAGAATTACAATCCAGTAAAAGTATTGGAGAGAAAAAAAAAAAAAAGGAAAATAATACATTCTACTGGCAACATTGGAAGCAAAATTTTTTCATGGCATATTAGCCTCCAGTTTTACTGATAACTAGAGGAAATTAACCTGCAATGCAACTAAAGGAGGTATTTGGTCATGCATCACAATATCAGCAGGCATGCAGCCAACCCTTGCATCTACAGCCTCAAGGGCGTCACACAAAAAAGTATACCAAGAAATCATAAAATGTTAGGTTTTACTCTGATTTCCCAGAAAGAAGGTGCCTCAGTGGATGCAACCACTGAAACCCTGACGAAATAACCTTTAACTTACTAAAAAAGTTTCCCATATAGCCCCTACGCATATCTACCAACAAAACCTGTTCTATGTAGCCAATCAATACACAGAAGACTTCAGCACAAACAAAGACCAACCAACAGATGCAACATCACATAAATAAGTATCTTTTATAAACCTTCTTTCAAATGTATCACTCAAAGTTCCTTATGGTTCCAACCATCATAAAAAAATCTAAATTATTTCCATGTTGAAACTGCAATAAGATGCCTTCAAGAATTTTCAAGAATTTTCAAGTTCATGTCTAAGTATATCATAGAACCTAAGTACATACCATGCTCAATATTGTCAATAAATTACAATCCAACAGATTTGACAGACAGTTCAAGGTATTTTATCTTTTTGGCATATAATATTTTCTAACATTTGAAGTAAAGCTTAGTATTTGCTACTTATAAACAAAATATTTATTCTAATAAAGGCTTTAAAAGTGCAAAAAAGTTTCTTTGACCATTTCAAAGCCTGTTTATTCTTGATCATTCTGGACAGTTAGGTCCACCAGCTATTCAATATATAACACAATATCACCCATCTTTCCCACCTGCTATGTATCCCATAATGTAAACAATTAGGATCTCAATTTAAAGATGCTATCCTTTAAGAAAACAAAATAGTGAATGCACTTATCACATAGCCACCAAACATGCATGCAAACCTGCTCAACATACAAAAGATGGTGCAACCTGAAAACTTCACTGCACTTGGATCTAGCAATACAAGTATTTACATGCCCAAACAAATAAACTGGATATTAGTAGCAATGGACCTATGAACAAGCCGGAAGTACACACCATCTCATCCAACAAAAATTTTGAACAATTTTAAAACAAGCTTGCAAGTAACAAGATTGAGGGTTATCTTTCAAATTCTGAAATCTCTTCTAATTCTCTTTGTTTCTGGCAAAAAAAAACCTATTATATTGTTAAGTTGTGAATAAACATAATACATTTTTCATCTATATGATAAAAGGTTGGAGATTAAAGTGATATGAAGAAAGAAAAAATTGCTAAGATTAAAGCTAAGAGGAAATTCGGTAGTTTTGACAATAATGGTACAAAAATGATTATGATGCACTCTCCCTTTTGAAAAATAAAAAACCTCCTTTACAATGACAACCTATAAAAAGTGTACATTTGAAAACAAAAAGCAAAAATTCTGAGTTATTTGTTAACATTTTTTTTAAATGCTTAAAAATGCCACTCCATGGATAATAACTTAGGACCACTTGCCCTAAAGAAAAACCCTTACACGTAACCAAAATGCAGAGAGAAACAGGTTGAGACATGATGGTAAGTGTCACTGGTTATACTCAAAGATTTCCTTGACAGCAACAAGTTGTGCCCATACAGTGCAGTGCATTCCAAAGACCCATGTCAAAAGAGGGTCAATCACTTACCTACCAAGATAAGTAATTACAAGAAAAAGGCATTTAAACCAATATCCTAACAGCTGAAGAGCTTGCAGAGAACGTAGTCTTAAGTCTTACTGTTGACCATAAAACCAACAAACTTAGCTCCATGAAAAGAATGCAGCATCACAACAATAAGTATAACAAAATCTGAAACCAAAAATTGGAAACATGGCAGATTTAGCGGGATAATCCCCAGTTAAAAAAGAATTTTGATTATTAAAGTATTTAATGTGCATCAACTGTTGTAAAATAACCAATACATTTTAAAGTAGCTTGCACATTTTAAGCTGTACAAATATACAGCAGAAACCCAAATAATAATACTGTCTCCCTAATAATAGTTTACTGCGTTGCCTGATCACCAAGTTTCTCAGCATGAGTTGACTGACCATTATATCCATCGCTTAACCATTCCTATCATTGGCCAATAGTGCTTCATAGTACGCATAAATGTGAACATTGTCTAGCCCTGTAACTCTGAATATCTGAACCAGCAATGCAGCAGTATCCAAGGCCATTAACTCCACAAAAGAGAGATGGACAGCATACTGCGATGGTATCACAAACAAGCAGTCGAACTTGTACTACAACCTGTTTCCAAGCTTCAGCAATCCCTCCAAAACTTTTAAAGATGGTAAAATATAGGGCAAATGCTAAATGCAGTGCAGTCCCCATATTATAAAATTTAATATTATTTGATCAGGTATGGATAGTAAATGGTATCAATAAGTCTGCATATGGAAAAGTAGCATTAAAAGACACTGTCACTTCCTAGCTTGAAAGTGCTCTTCAGATATGACAGGGAATGACATCTCTTTGGACTCAAAAGATAAAATAAAAAGGAAAGCACAATGAAGCTGCAAATAAAGCTCCCAGCACTAACATTAATGGGAAAAACAAAGGGCAGTTTGTACAGCATTATTGACCAACTGAGATTTGATACCGACGCTTATCAATTCCAAAACAAACAAACAATTTTTTTTGCAATTCCATTCAAACCATCATATGTCCTAATCTAAGAAGCTAAATAATCAAAAATAGTTAGCAATATCATGTACAGTTTCATGACCCTCTCACGATTTTAAACTCCACATTTCCAGATTTTTTCAAAAACTAGGCAGTGAGAAGTATTCACAATAATGCTGCAATGAGAAAGAAAACAAAGAAAACCATAAATTCAGAAGAAAAAGACTCAAACTGTAGAATAAATAAAAACAATTGACTAATGGTGACAGCAAACTCACCAATAGACAACAGTGATTGTTACACAGCCAGGGAGACTATTGGCTGATTGCAACATGTCCAGTAAAACGAAAAGAGTCCTGTTTGCATCTGTTGTTAGCGCAACTGGATCCAAAATAGGATGACCACCACTTAGCCATGATACATTAAAAGTCCATCCACTTCCTCTGGTAACTAGAGAAACATTAAAAGAATAAGTTTCCAGAGAAACCAGCCACTAGAATATATCAATATGGAAGTTCCATGAATGACATAAAAAATTGAAAGTCCTACAAATAACCCAAAAAGTCAAACACGGCAGTATGGGCCTTAAACCAAATCATGTCCTAGAGAACTTTGAAGCCTTAACAATGGGAATGCAATACCTTCAACAAATTTTTCAGAATCAACGTTGTCAGCTGTAAAAAGTAAGACATATGTCTCCAAAAATTTCAGCGCCAGCAACTTTGTCCCAACCGGACCAGGCTACAAATTTAAATAAAAGAAACATGGATTGCAAATGGTTAGTAAGTTGTAAATACCAAGTGCTTTAACTATAAAATTAAGTAATTCTCAATACACAACTAAATAAATTTACAGAAGAGTTACAGAAATGAGGGAAAAGAAATGAACATGAGTATACAAAAACCATCAAATACTACTAGTCAAGCCAACAACTAGAGCCCCCCCCCCCAACCCACCCCCCGAGAAAAAGAAAATAAATAAAGGGAGAGAACAAATAAGAAAAGACAGCAAAACATATTTTCCCTTCTTAGAAGGACCAAAATTGACTTCTCATCCTGCTTTTCAGAACCTTCAAATAATAAAACATCAAGAATAGCAATCTTTTCGCCTTTTAACTGCATCCCAAAAGCACAATCTCCTTCACCAATTTTAAAGAGCCAATTGCTCACATCAAGGCTCCAAGTTATGCGCATTATAGATGCTAGCTGACAGTTAGACGAATAAGGAATGCCTCAGGATATGAATTTTAGCACACAAAACTTTTCTCATGGATCCATCACCACCTCATGAATAAACATTTAATTATTTGCCCAACTCTCACCTAATAAGTGTTAAGAAAGAAATTCCCAAAAACTTATGGTTTGTCATTTTGATCACACATCTCATAGTAATAAAATACCTTTCTAACATACAGGTTCTCTATATTGTAAACATTGACATTAAAAAAGAACTAATTTCCAGTAACTGTTTCTTATTGCTAACCTTAAGAAGCTACTCATATAAAAGCTTCCTTTCTGCAAGTCCAGCCACCCAACTGCTTTCCCCAAGTGAAAGGAAGACAGAAATAAAAAGAATGGACTTATCCAATATTTTATTAAATGAATGAAGCCCGTCAGAACAAAAGTGTTGTTTGATTTTAGTTTGCAGTGATTTAAGGTTTCAACCGTGTTTGGCTACTCATTATGGGCACCACTTAATTGAAAATTCTACTTGAAACCTGCCAAATGTTTTAAGTAGTTAAAACCTTAATGCATTCTATCAATAATATTTTAAAAAACTATCATTTCATTATATTGCCCATATGTTTTAATTAAATTTTCTTTTATGCCATTTTTTGTAACTCTTGTAGATTTAAAATCTCTATTAAACTATTTTTTTTTCAATAAACTCAAGCAAAATCTATATAGTATTTAAATTTTCAACAACAAACCAAACAGTTTTCATAGAATTAATTCAGTACTAAAAATTCAGCATCTAATATTTCAATTTATCAAACAGTATCTAACCTGGTCAAAATATTACAATGCCGTCAACCACTGAAAATTAGCAAACAAGTTTAGAATTTGGAAAGCTAAAGTAAATATAACATACCTCCAATGCAATGGAAAACACGCCTTCCTTGAACCTAACCATCCACGTCCATAGTTCTTCAAGCCACCGGTCAACTTTGCCATGCTGCTGAAACTATAATTTTTAGGAAAAAGTGAACAATTTTACGTGTAGATAAGAAAACCAGATAGTTTGACAGATGAATTGAATAAGAAAATACAAAATGTGAGATAAAGGGATCCTATCATCATTTCTTTGGAGTTAATTTAAATTAATAATGAAAGCACACATTCACTAAGTGATTAAACATACTACCATACACTCAAAATAACTTGAAAAACAATAACCAAAAACCAGCAGAAATCTTTAATAGTTCAAAAAACGTGTCCAAAATCTAAAAGCATTGCACTCAAATTCTGCAAGGAGACAAAAAACATTATTGCAAAAGGAAAAAAATCATTAAAAGAATCCAAGTTAGGACTACATGTTTACTTATAAAGGTAGAAAGTAACCTGTAACACCATTTCTTCCAAAACGTTACAGAAGAAATTTCTGCCACAAGCAATAGATTGACGCACAACATCGGAGTCAGCATCCCTCAAAAATGCTACTAACACAGGTACTAGTATAGAACAATGATCTATCGCTTTTAATGCAATATCTTCAATTATCCTGCCAACCATAGACAAAAACGTAAAACAAAATTCCAGGTACAATATTGGGAACCTAGCAACACTTTATCAGAGGACAAAGTAAAGCGATCTTTTCTAAGCAATTAGATGAGTAATTCATAAATTTAACACAAAAATTTCCAATTTTTCACAAAGTCAAAAAACACGACAGACTGAAAAATGCAGATTATTAATCAGCCTAATGTCAAAACAAAGAATCGAAACAGTTAAGCATGTAGTGGCAGGATTTAAAAAAAGAATAAAAAATTGTAAAACATTAATACAAACATAAAGAACGAGCAGAATTAGGGTTTGAAACTCACTCGATAAGAAATTTTCTAACGAGACTGTAAGGAGAACGCTGGAGGTCAGCGAGGTAAGGGAAGAGGTCGGCAGCAAAAGATGAATCGAGAGAGGAAAGAATATCCTTGGCCTGTTTAAGAGACGACAGCTTCACCGCCAAATCGGCGTGGTTATTCGCGGCGGTGAGGAGAGAAAGGGCTTGGTCTCTAGAATCCACAATGACCATTGCTTCGACTTCCGCCTCGGCCTCCCCCTGAAAAATTTTGATCGATTTTGGGTGGGAATTGTTGGAAGGGCATAGGGTTAGGGTTTTGAGGGGTAAGGGGTTTGGAGGGGAGGGTGGAGTATATCAAAAATTTTTAGACGCCACAGAGATAGAAGAAAATAAAATTTTAGAAAATTATGATTTTTTTTTTTTTGTAAATGGGTGTCGTGGCTCGTGGGGAACATAGGGTTTGAAGTCGCCTTAAGGACATGGGGTCAACGCAGGCTTCTTGCATTGCGTTTTTGCTAACATGCGCCCCTTGGTAAATTGCGACTTTTATATTGTTTTTTACAGGTTAAAATTTATAAAAAAAAATCAAAATTTATCACTTTTTTTAAATAAATTCTTATAATTTTTTGTATTCAACTAAATTTTAAATTTACACCCAAATAAATTTTTAATAACTAATTTATATCAAAATAAATTTTTATTTTTTAGTTTGTTCCTAATTAATTTTTAACATAAATTTTTTTAAATAATAGTTCATTTAAATATAAATAACAAAAAAAATTATTTAAAGACAATAAAAATATAAATATTTATTTAAAAAAGTGGAATAATTTAAAGATTTTATTAATATTTTAGCCTATTTTATGAGCAGATATATTCCCCTTTCATAAGAATATATGGGAAAAGAAAATTAAAACATCCACACCTAATAAATTAAATTAAATCGAAGTTAATTTTCAAAAAAATAAAGGAATTCAAAGTTTAAAAGATTTTGTTATTATGTTTTGATGTTTTTAAATGACTAGCTGGCAAAAACTCTTTTTTACAGTATTAATTGATGTATTATTTTTATTTTTTTCTTTTTTCTTTAAACATCATCTGCAGAAAACTCAAAATAGTGCAACATAATTTTTTCCACAGTGATTTTTCCTGCCAAAGTTTGAATTCTAGGAATTGAAACCAGTTAACTGCTGTTTGTATCCTTGTTATTGATTGCAACAGCTTCTATGAAAGCATCATCATATTCTGTCAGCCATGATTTTCTACGGTGAGAAAGCTGCATTATGGGGCCTACGGCTAACTGTAAACAGATTTTTCATACCATAATTTACAGAAATGGAGAAAGGGGGGGGGGGGGGGGAGGTGATTCTTGAGCATGATGGAGATGTGCAGAATCATCTTCATAAACACCAATCATCACATGCTGAAGTCATTGATCTTGATAGAACTGCATTAGTAAGCAATTGCAGCTCTCGATCTGCAGTTTGTTCAAGATAAGAAAACAACTCTTAGTAACACTCTAGAAAATAAACAACTGACATAACAGGTAGCAAAAGCAATCAAGGAAATTTTATACCTCAATGAGATGAGCTGCTCGCTAGATCTCGTGATCCTCCTATATAGACATGTAAGACATGGCTTATTTTAGGCCAATCTTCACCCATATCCTTCTTGCACCTCTCTTCCAGAGTTGTACATTCTAGAATAGACAAATGCTGAAGGGAACTAAGAGATTGAAGACCAATAGGGAGGGAAGTTAGATTAGGACAGTCTGATAATGCTAAAGATCTGAGTGAGGTAAGCTCTGCTACCCATGCTGGCAAAGCCACCAGACCGTGGCAGCTACGAATTTCTAGATTCTGCAGTGAGGTGACATATTGTAACCCCTCCGGAAGACATTTCAGCTCTGGACAGTTCAAAATTGATAAACTCTTGAGATTGGACAGATGCTGGAAACTCTCAGGTAGAGAAGCCAAATTTGAACAGTACATTATCGTTAAGTGCTCAAGGGCTGTCAGAAATTGCAACTCTATTGGTAAGGACTTAAGATTACTGCAGTTCTCAATTGATAATGATCGAAGAGAGCGCAGGCCTTGTATATCCTCCGGCAAGGAAATAAGACTAGGGCATTCAATTATCTCCAGAGACTCCAAGGAAGAGAGGTTTTGCAATCCTTGAGGTAATGAATGTAGCTCTTCACACCAGCGTATAGCTAATGATTTAAGTTTGATGAGTTTTCCCAAACTTGGAGGGATTGATTGAAGCTTTGGGCAAGAGCTAATCCCAAGACACATGAGAAGAGCATTGTTTTTGAGCAAATTTTCCAAGAAGACCAACTGCCCTGCAAAATCATCAATGATAAGGATGTTTAGGGAAGTTAGGTTGGATGCTGACCGCAACACCATCTCATTGCAGCTGCGTAACTCCAGGTGATGAAGAGATGGGAAGCATGGCAGATTTTGCAACCTGAAACATTTGATGAGTGTCAACTTGACCAAAGAAGGGAATTCTTCTTTCCTGTTGAAACTCCACCAAGATTCTAAAGTAGGAAAATCTACGAGTGTTAGCTCTGTCAATGACGGAAACAGTGTTCCAGTGACATCACCATAGAATTCTCTTCCGATGTTCTTCACTGCATCCATCCCTTGTAAGTACAGGACCTTAAGGAAGATAAGTTGACCCAAAATAGGGAGATATTCACATCTCCGGCAGTTTATCAAGCTGAGTTCACTTATATTTGGAAGTTTGTGAACACTCATCCATCTAGGCAAACGGATTCCTTGGTACCCTTTTATGGTTAACTTTTTCAGATATTTATGCGGTTGGAGGTGATTGAGCACTTCTTCTAGCATATCATTATTGGCAACATTCCCATTTAGACCATTAATATCGTTTTCCCAACATAGAGTCAATGACTGAATGTTGCGCTTTGCTGCCAAGTCAGCTTCCATTGCATATGCTGCATCTCTCACATTCTCTAATTGTCTGATGTAAAGTTCTCCACCCAGGTTTAGATTTTGCAGTTGGTTAAGGTGTTGACCTACTTCCCTTCCCACAATAAACATCGACAACGTCTGAAGATGCTGAAGTTTTCCTATCCAAGCTGGCATTTTGGTTAATCTCTCACAGCCATTTAGTATCAAATGTCTCAGTCTATACATTTTGGCCATGCCACCGGGTAATTCGATGAGATTATAGCAACCAGAAAGGTTCAACACCTGTAAATTGCAAAGACCGCAAACATTTTCAGGCAAATATTCTATATGGGTGTTAGAGATGTCAAGATATCTCAAAAATATGAAGGAGGAAATTGAATCCTGCAGCTTTTTTATCCCGCTGCCGCTTAAATCAAGGACCCGCAAATACCTAAAACTTGAAAAGATCCTAGAAGGGAGTTCGCCAAGGTCACCTTTCGGGAGCAATAAGATGAGGGTTCGCAATTTTGTTGCTTCATACAAAAGTTCTGGAATTGTATAGAAGCTGAAATTACAAACCACTGATGAATGGCGAGTTTGGAATAAATCTTCTGTTACATTATCATGCTCCAGCATACTGAATTCATTTCCCACTATTGATCGTGCAAGATCGTGAATGAGATCATGGATTTTACACTCAATTATATTGCCATTGTCACTCTTATGAATATCTTGAAAGAAAAACATCCACACTAAATCATCAAAATATTCATTTCCAATAAATTCCAGTGACTTTCTTCCTTCTCGCGATTGAATTAAACCTCCTGCAATCCAGAGCTGGATCAATTTCTCCTTCTTGATTATGTAGTTCTTCGGAAGTATCGAGCAATAAGCAAAGCAGGCTTTCAGATGTGATGGCATATGACTGTAACTCAATCTTAGGGCAGGTAAAATTCCATTTTCACTATGAGATACTTCCCAAAGGTCACTCTCCTGGACAACCAACCAATCTCTTTCTTCCCTTTTGAAGCGCATTAGGCTTCCTAGAGTCTTTGCAGCTAAAGGGACACCTCCACACTTCCTCACAATTTGCCTACCAATTGGAATCAAGTTCTGGTGATCTTCTTCATTATTGCCAAAAGCTCGTTGCTTGAACAAAGCCCAGCAATCATTATCAGTTAGACCTTCCAACTGATGTATGTAAGCTGATCCCATCATCAATGCCACCTTTTTACTACGTGTAGTGACGATGATACTACTTCCCTCCACACCACTTCTCATTGACATCATTAACTTTTCCCATTCACTGTCATCTTCATTCCACACATCGTCCAACACAATCAAGTATCTCTTCCCCAGTAGTAGTTCTTGTAGTCGAAACTGCAATACATCCATCCCAAAGATGTCACATTTATTTTTGCTGGCAGATTCAATGATTGAGATCATAATTTTTCCTACATCAAAATCATCACTGACACAGACCCAGATCTTTAAATCAAAATGTGTTGCTACCATGTCATTGTTGTAGACTAACTGAGCAAGCGTTGTCTTACCAAGACCACCTAAACCAACAATGGAAACAACTGAGATATCCCCCAAAGTTGCATTATTGCTTGAAAGCAATTGATCTATTATCCTACTTTTATCCTCCTCTCTCCCAAAAACTTCTGATTCAACGACTAATGACCCAGTTTGCCTTCTCCCTCTTCTTCTGCTACCTATATTAGCATCTCTCAAATTGAAACTAGACTTCTGTTCTGCTAAAAATTCCAATGTCTCCTTGATCTGCTTTAATCTAGGTAACAAATCGAAACAACCTGCTGCTTCTTGTACCAGAGAAGGTAAAAAGGAGCGTACCTGTTCAGCAAAGCCACCCTGATTCCTAGATTGCATAGCTTCAAGAGAAAACTCATCAAGCAAATCTTCCATCTCGTAAGCAACTTCCTTGAGCTCAGTTAGCCAAATTCTCAGAGCTCTATTACTCATTTGCTGCTCTTCTGCATCTGCAAGCACTGCTTGTATTACGTACAAGGTTCGTTGAAGCTTCCTGACCTCTTTCTTGAGGCCAAGTCTGTTAGCAATCTCTTCTAGTAAAGGACTGGCCAACTTGTCGAAGACCACCTGTAGCAGAGGAGATACAATTATTTCCGCCATTGACAGGGACAATAAAGGAACAGAGGAAAGTTTACAACGTTAAAGATAAATGGAGATGATGAATATTAATGATGATTGCACATGTTTGCTTCTCTCAAGAAAATAAATTGTTAATTTGGATAAATTTAACAAAAACATTTCAGTGATTTTTAATTTTCATGTGGTTGAAATTGGAAGACATCATGAGCCGCCATTGTTTTCCAGTTTCCTGGGTACTTCCAAGTAATTGACCTGTTAAATTTCCTCCGCGTATTTATCACAAGCCAATCAGAAGTTAATACTCAATCTTTCCGCAAATGAAAAGGTAAATATTTAGTCAATTCACCATAACATATTGAATCTATATACTATTCTCGAATCACATTATTATATTTTATTAACGACTAAATTAAAAATTTTAAAATTTTTAATAATAATATTCATATATTATTATAAATATTTGATACCGTTGACCATATATAAATACTTTTATCCCTTGTTAAAAAGATGTTTAGTGATTTCATTTTACAGATATAAAATATTATCAAACAAAAGTTAATTGTATGCCAAAAAATTTCAATTAAATCCTTATTGTATATATACAAACAAAATAAACATAAAAAAATATTTACAGCACCAATTATTTCCTGTTAAACTTGATTCAACTCACCACAAAACACACAAAATTTGTCCCGCAAGCAGACAAAAGTGCGATCCTCTCCATTAATTTCCCTTTTTAGTTTTTATAATGACAAAGAAAAGTCAGAGCAAAGGGTATAGAAAGGAGTGGTTGAAAGTTGAGGCTGCCTTTGTTGGACAACTTGAACTAGTACTATAGAATGGAGTAAAAGCCATTAGATTCGCAACAAACTGCATGAACGTAGAATTTTACAAAAGCACATTTGACAAACTGTGAACACTCATGTTTCCTCTTCCTGTAGCCATGGTGGTTCAGGACCTTCAGGCTTGGGGACTATAATTACGCCTTTTGGTGATGAGAAGTTGGGCTTCTAATTGAAATGCAATTTTCAGAAGTAACCAGAAATCTGCCCGTCTAATATTGTTAAAAATGAAAATAGATTTTACTATTATTGACATGAAGTGTCACACTTGCTTATATCAAACAAAAGGGACAGTAATTAAATACAAAATGTATTAATTAATAACTGCATAATCCATTGATAGAATATTAAATTCTTAATTCTAATAATACAGGTTCAAATTCTAAAGCCCAAAAACTTGAGAGGGTGGGGGAGTGTTTGCAAACTTCCATTATGCTTTCCTCATGCTCTGCTATTCTTTAATGGCTGCAGCATCATAAATTTCTTTCAAGGCCTCTGCTGTGAGTTTCACTCTCAAGGAGCCAATATTCAGATCCAGGTTCTTAGTTCTTAGTTGTTCCTACAAAAATTCAAAGCAAATGTTGTACAACATATTGAAATACTCTCAAAGTTCTCTCCCAACATGTTCTATGTACTTTATTGGATGTTTGTTTAATTGTTAGATCTCTATTACATCTCTCTATTCTCGCTTTTGTAAAATAATAAGCTATACTAATCAGATTGACACAATTAAAAATTAATATATATATATATTATATTTGAACAAATAAATAACTTTATATTTATAATTTTATATAGAAACGGAAAACTCTTTTACAAATGAAAATGGACATAATTTTAAATATGTTTCGTTATAAATATTAATAAGACATATTAAAATAAGTAACAATTATCGAAAATATTTCATTTTTTTTTTTTGAATAATCTAAAATATTTCATATCAAGTTAGAAGAACCAAATAATAATAAATAGTTCGGTTGGTCTTTCAAAACCCCTGCTCAATACTTGGCCCATTAGATTCAGAAGGATTGAATTTTTAAAAAAATATTTAAAAATTGATATTTTTAAATATATTCAAGAATATTCTATTGAGCATTGTCAAAAGTTACATGAATGAGAGGCAATTAAAAGAGGAGAATGAAGTCTGACATACCAAGAGCATGACCAGAGGTTCTGATCTGTATTCTACTTCAGCGCAATGAGCTGCTAGCAACATTCTCTTTCCTGACCTCCGGTGATCCGATGTAAATATGGGCAATGTGAGCTATTTTTGGCCAGTCCTTACCTATATTTTTCTGGCAATGCTCTTCAAGCCTTGGACATTCTTGAATGGAAAGACGTTGGAGGTTGCTCAGGCACTGAAGACCATCTGGAAGTGATGTCATGTTGGGACAATCTGATATCGCCAAAGATCTAAGAAGTGAAAGATTTGCAAGCCACTCTGGCAACACATTTAAACCAGGACAACCGTGGATTTCTAGATTTTGCAGAGTCGTGACATGTTTAATACTTTCAGGCAGAGATGACAGCTCTGGACAGCATAAAATGCACAAACTCCTCAGCATGGAAAGGTCATGCCAGTCAGTTGGCAAAGACACCAAACTTGGACAGTACATAATCGTTAAGTGTTCAAGAGAACTAAGATGTTGCAGTCCTATGGGTAACAATCTTATGTTACTGCAGTTCTCAATGGACAAATATTTAAGGGAGATTAGCCCATCTATGCTCTGGGGTAAAGCTGAAAGGCTATGACATTCACTGATCTCCAGAGACTGCAGGCAGGTGAGGTTTTGCAATTGCAGTGGCAAAGATAAGAGCTCCTCACACCAACGAATTGTCAATGATTTTAGAGAGACAAGGTTCCCCAAACTAGGAGGGATGCAGCAAAGATTGGGACAAGAGCTGATAGCTAGAGACATGAGATGAACATTGTTCTGAAGCAAGTTATCTAATAGAATCAACTGTCCAGTGAAAACATTGATAATGAGGACAGAAAGTGAGGTTATATTTACTGCTGACCCTAGTATCGTTTCATGGCAGTTATGGAACTCCAAATGCCTAAGAGATGAAAACATTGGCATATTCATCAACTTAGGACATTTATTGATGGTTAATTTGACAAGCGAGGGAAATTCTTCGCCTCCACTTATACTCCACCAGAATTCCAAATTAGGGAAGTCAATGAGGGATAGCTCCTTTAACGATGCAAACGATTTCTTTCTGTCTTCACCATAGAGCTCACTGCCAATATTCTTCACAGCATCCATTCCATGCATGTGGATAGTCTCTAGGACTGGAAAGTTACCTAAAGCAGGGACATGTTCACATCTTTTGGAGTTGATCAACAGTACTTTAGTTAAAAAAGGAAGTGCAAGAGTATTCATCCATCTTGGAAGATGGATTCCTGGGTAACCTTTTATAGACAAATTTTTTATATTTTGGGGTGGTTGCAGGCAGTTAAGCACTTTCTCACCCAGTCTGCAATTAGAATCATTTCTAACACTCGAGTTCTGCCCATCATGATCATCTCCCCATGACAACTCCAGCGAATGAAGGTTTTTCATTTCCAAGATTATGCCTTTTAGTTCTTGTTTAACATTCTCTAAGTTCCTGATTGTCAGCTCTCCTCTAAGCCGCAGTCTCTTCAACTGCTTAAAGTTATCACTCTCCTTTGATACAAAAAAGATTGGCAATGTCCGAAGTTGAAATAGTGCACCAATGTAATCTGGCAAGCAAGTTAACCTTTCACAATCATTTATAATCAGATGTCTTAGCATGCACAGTCTAGCTAAGCTCCTTGGCAGGCTGGTTAAATCAGAGCAACCTGAAAGGTTTAAAACCTGCAAGTTGCAGAGGCTACATATAGTTTCTGGTAAAGTTGTGATAAAGGTGTTTGATCGGTCGAGGTACCTCAAATACTTCAAGCAAGAAACCGAGCTTTGCAGCCTTTTGATGCCACTATAACCCAGATCTAGGACTCGTAGTTTCCTAAAATTTGAAAACAGTTTGGCTGGGACTTCACCAGAGTCACCGTTGGAAAAAAAAAAAAAGTTCACAACTTCTTTGCTTCATATAAGGCTTCTAGAATAGTAAATGATTCAGAATGGCAAACCACAGACGAGTATCGAACTCTAGCAGATTTTTTGGTAGGCAATCACCTTCAAATATGAAAAACTCTTCTCCAGCAACAGATTTTGCAAGATCATGAATAAGATCATGCATTTTACACTCTATTACATCACCATCACTGTTTTTCTTCACCTCTTCAAAGAAATGAATCCAAATCAAGTCATTAAAATAATCGTTCCCAACGTCCTCAGGAGATTTTCTTTCTTCACTTGATCGAGTTCCTCTCATAGGGTATTCACATGATTGAATTAAGCCTTCCGCAACCCAAAGATGGATTAACTTCTCTTTCTTGATAACATAATTCTTAGGAAAGATTGAGCAGTACATAAAGCATCCTTTCAGATGTGATGGCAAATGACTATAACTCAACCGTAGGGCTGGTGATATCCCATTTTCAGTTTCGCAAACATTCCAAAGATCATTTTCCTGCACAGATAGCCATTCCTCTGGCTTTCTTTTGAAGCGCATTAGACTCCCTAGCGTCTTTGCTGCTAAAGGAACACCCCCACATTTTTTCACTATTTGTTTCCCAATTGGCAACAGGTTTGGGTAGTCTTCTTGATCATTTGCAAAGGCGCGTTGCTTGAACAAAGCCCAACAGTCATCATGGGACAGACCTTTCAAATGGTGAGAACAGACGGTTCCCATAATTGTTGCAACCTTTGCACTTCTTGTTGTGACTATGACTTTGCTTCCTTCTGCGCCTAACTTGAGCAAACTTTTAAGCCTATCCCATTCATCCACATCTTCGTTCCATACATCATCTAATACAAGCAAATATCTTCTCCTGAATAATAAGTCTCGTAGTTGAGACTGAACAGCATCCATCCCCATGAGATCTTCACATCTTCTCCTGGTTGCAGATTCTATCATCAAGCTAGCAATCTTTCTCACATGAAAATCATCATTAACACATACCCACGTCCTCAGTTCAAAATTTCTTATCACCCTTTCATCATTATAGACTAGTTGAGCAAGTGTGGGTTTACCAAGGCCGCCTAAACCAACTATGGGTATAACTGAGACAAACTCAATAGCTCTTCTCTCAGTGGTTAACAGTAACATCTCTACTATCTTTTCTTTATCGTCTTCCCTCCCTATAACTTCAGATTCAATCACAAAAGAACCAGTTTCTCTTCTCTGTTCACTTTTAATCGCTTTCTCACCATCTTTTTTCTTGAGCTTGAAATTAGACCTTTCTTCCAATAACACATCTAGTCTCTCCCTAATCTTCTTTAATTCAGGCAACCTTTTAAGATATGTTATGAAAGGTCTCAAAGAGGGAACAATGCTGCTCTCCTGCTCAGTCAAGCTACTGTCGTTTTCTTGCATCATAGCCTCCGGGCCAAACTCTTCAAGCAAGTCATCAGCATCAAAAGCTACCTCTTTAAGCTCACTTAACCACAACTTCAAACTTTTATCTGCAGCTTGCCGCTCTTCTGTATCTTGAAGCACGGACTGGATTGTGCGCAACGCACGTTGAAGCTTCTTGATTTCATCCTTGAGCCCACAACGATTAGCAATCTCTTTCAGGAACCGAGAGGCTAGTTTTTCAAAGACAACCTGTAGCAGGGGACCCAAAACTATCTCCGCCATAATCTTTGCTTGAAAGAACCTGCTGAGTCCCTTGTTTCCGTTCACGCTGCTGGTAAGTTCAAGGTTTCAAGATCCTACTAAATGATTAATTGGCTTCTACCTCACTTTGAGAAAATTGATTTATCCAAGCAAAAGTGCAAAACTATCATTTTCCTTTCAGCTTTTAACATTGTGAAGGTGAACCCATCTTTCACGCATTTCAGGCGTGGTCAAATCCTTCCACTTCATTTGTTCTCTACGGCAACGTAACAAGTTGTCACACGTCCTCAGCTAACCGTCCATTTTTACAAATTTCAACTGCACCAAAAATTTCAAAGTCAAGGGATGAAAATGTTGATTTTTTTTGTTTTTTAGAATCGGGAGGATCGCCGTTATCCCTTGACTTCAGATGACGAAATTTGGTGGTGCATTTATTATGAGTTAATTATCTCAGACTCGTGGCTTTGATAGCTGAATTATGCTAGCCTAACAGTGCTAGCTAGGAGATTTCGTATTCATTAGTTTGATTTTGATGCGAAGTCTTGACTTAGCAGTTGGAGTTCTAGCTTTGCTTGGAATAAACTTTTATTGGCTAAAATATATTGACGTCATCTCTGGTTTTGTATTTGTGGAGTTTCCTACAGGTTAATATGACAATGTATATGATTGTTACCAAGAGAAAGATTAGAAAGCATCGGAGATAATATTTTAAAATGCCTATTTGATGCGTATGATTATAAATAAAATAAAATAAAAATTATTTTATATTATATTTAATTTATATTTAAAAATAAATAAAATCATAAAAAAATTAAACATCTTTTTAAAAATAAAAAAATTTATTTTTTATTTATGAGATTAAATGTATATATCTTATTATATCATTAAAAATTATATCAATAATTTAAATTATATTAATTTTAAAAAAATAATTTTAATTAATAAATAAATTATCTTATCTCACTACAACAAATTTAGTTATTAGTGACACATAGAATAATGTAATTAAATATTTATTTTTTATCATCATATATATTTTGTGATAAAAAATTAAACATCATTACGTTCGTCACGTTTGCACCATCGTTAAAAATCAAATGTAATAATACCAAAATATCATCACATGTTATGAATCTACCATAATAATAAAATCAAACATCATCTTATGTCGTTTTTTTGTGACATTAAATTTTGTCAACTATTTATGAAAAAAACTTATAAAATAAATGATAAAATTTGATAAATTAGTGACGAATGATAAATCGTTGCAGTATTGGTGACATAATTATCATCACTAATATTTGTAAGATAATATCAAATATGACAATAAAATCAAACATCACCTTATGATTTTTTTATGACGTTAATTTTTGTAAGTTATTTATGAAAAAAATGTCATTAAATGCTATAATTATCATAAAATAAATAATAAAATCTTATATATTAGTGACAAAAGATAAACCATTTAAGCATTAGTGGCACAATTAACGTCACAAACGATTGTAAGATAACGTCAAACATGACAATAAAATTAAACACCATCTTATGCTTTTTTTGTGACATTAGATTTTGTCAGCTACATATGAAAATAAATGTTATTAAATGCTATAATCATCACAAAATAAATGATAAAATTTGATATATTAGTGACGAAAGGTAAATCGTCATAGTATTGGTGACACAATTAACATCATTAAATCCTATATATAAAATAAAATTGTTATAGTCATTTTTGTAAAATAATCCTTTATAGTGTTCTTGAAAAGCCACCAAATATTTGAATTGATTTTTAAATGTAGTACATGCTCTCAAGTCTATCTTAAAATCATATTGAAATAATATTGTTTAAAAAAAAAGAGGGTATCAAAATTATGAAATATGTAGCCATCGAAATTTTATCTTCAAGCTCTCAGTCCAAATCTTGTGTCGAGAGTGATTATGTTGATGGTGAGTTTGTATCACTTGAGCTGTAATAAATAATTAATAGCAAATATAAAAACAAACCACAATATACACACAATAAGATAAAAACAAATATAAAAATTAAACTAATCCATTTTATGCATATCAAAATTTTAAATCAGGTCTTACCCTCTATTAAAGAATAGGCCTTGTCAAGAAATCGATAAAATTGACAAGACAGATGTCTTAACATAGTCGTCATCCAATTTAATCTAAAACTTTATCTAAAATGAAAAACAAATTAATTGATATATTCAAATAACATATATTCAAAACTAACCAATAATAAGTTTTGAAATAATATTCTGCATTTACATCAAGTCTCTCAAAGGCATGCAACTTATCTGTATCCTTCAAAGCTTTTCATTTTGTTAGGATCAGGATGAATTGTCGAGTAATGACTCCAATTTCAGAAGATAATTTAGCCGATTAAACTTCATAAATCAGTTTACCCTTAGTTGTTAGTATGTCAATTATTAGCTAGTTTTTCCTTTTAATGAGTGTTTCAAGTCTCATCCCTCAAGTTAGACATCGTACCCTTTTAGAAGGGATAAAAGGTATATCTATAAAAGTAATATATTAATCTAGTAGAAGAAGAAAAGAAAAAAACTTTATAAATTTGTTTGTAGAATTAGAAACTTTATAAAGAAACAGATGTAGACACTCCAATCTATCCGAGGTTCTACTCAATCTGGTTTTTGTTAATTAAAAAAATGAAAAAAATTTGGCAAATTGAATTTATGTGAAACTGTATGTATGAGGAGTTTAAACTGGATTTAAAGAGTGAAGTTAAAATTAAAAAGAAATTAAATTCTATTCAGGTATAAGGTTTTTTTGATCAGAACCTTATAAATAGATGCTCCCATAGAAACACAAATCATAGATAAAAAACATAGAAAGAGCATAGATAGAAAATAGAGGGAAAGCACGTAGGAAAGGCAAAAAGCAGAGCAATCAACAAAAATAAAAAAAAAAATTGAAGATTATTGAAAAATTTTAGAAAATTCCCAGATTTCGACAAAATTTTTCAGATTTTGATGAATTTTTCGATGTCGATTGAATTTTTTGGTGAATTTTTTATGTTGGTTGAATTTTTTGACAAGCATCACAGAATTCAATTGAAGATTTCAGCAAGCTTGAATTTTTTGGTGAACTTTCGATGAATCAACCCAAATTTTGATGACTATTTCTAAAATTCGATGAGGGTTTAACCGAAGTTCATCTGTTTTAAAGAGAGAGAGAGAAAAAAGAAAGGGGAAGAGAGAAAGAAGGAATGCGAAATCTGAAAAAAAAAGTTTGGAACTAACATTTTATACCCTCACCGAAATGGCTTCGTTTTAGCCTTAATAAACCCATCAGAATCCATGTGTTTCCATTTCCAACCCATAGTGTTGACCCGTTTTTGACCTGCATTTAACTCACTTCTAGTTTTTAACTCCAACCGAGCCGAGCTACAAGCCGCATCCTTGGAATTGTCGTTTCTGTCTCCAGTCGAGCCAAATTCCAACCACTAAGCTGAGCCATTTTGGTATTTTATTTATTTAGTTATTATATTTATTTTGTAAGTTTTTTTGCATGATTAAATTTAGAAAAAATAAAATATTTTTTAAGAATAAATAATAATTATCTAATAATGAAATTTTTAAAAACTTCAAATGGTAAATTTCTAAAAAATTTCTTAAGTGAGAAAGTTTGTCTAAATTTGTCCCAAATGGTGAAATAATTTAGATAAAGTTTCAATATCAATAATTAATATTTACTTTCAATTAAAAAAAAGTAAAAAAATTAATAAAAATTTTTGGAAAAATACTATTACCTAAGGTTGAGATTTTTAGAAATTTCAAATGATGAATTTTTAAAAAATCTCTAGGAGAGAAATTTCTTTAAAATTATCCTAAATGGTGGAAGAATTTAAATGAAATTTTAAGAAAAATAATTGTCATATTATATTCTTTCAAAAAAAAATAAAATAAAAAGAATTTCTAAATAGGTCCAAATAGTGAAAAATTTAGAAATTCAAAAAAAGAAAATATTTTTAATTTGGCTCAAATAGTGAAATAATTAGATATATTTTCCATAAAATATAATTAAACCTTTTTTTTTTTACGATGGAGCCTTTTTAAGAAATCAAATGGGATTCTTGAATACTCTTAAGGTGAGAAAAATTTTTAAAAGTTCTACCAGATCGATGGAGAATCTTAAAAATTATTTTCAATATTTAACATAAAAACTTAAAACCATTAGAATAAAGACTTTAGGATAAATTTAAAATAAAATTATACTATCTTTTAGATGGGCATGTGGGAGTGCTATAACCTACCCTATATGTAACTAAACTCCTAAACTCTATTCTGGTTAATAGATCCAAACCTAATCTTTTAGGGACTCTTAGACAGGCTTAAGAGCTTTTAAAATGATAGATTTTTTAGGTGATCAATCACACCCAATTAAAAAAAATTGATGGTGACTCTATTTGTTAAGTCTAGCTATAGATTTACAGATCTATATGTTATGACAGTTTGGCAACTCCACTAAGGACTACTAGAAAGTCAGGCCATAAATTTTGAATTTATCCTATCATTTGATCTAATGATTGTAAAGTATAAAGCTTGTATTATTTGTTTACTAACGTTTTTCTTTTTTTTTTTATCTCTCACTTGATTTATGGGATTGATAATTATATGTTCCTTCACATACACTATTACATGCATTTGCATTATATGAGCTCTATACTCGGACTCTATCTCTTTTAGAAGGGAGTAAAGTACCTATGCTCTCATGAGATGATAATCTCTGTAATAGCTAGCAAAATAGTCCTACTCAAATTAAATCTTTTTCATTAGTAGCTTGTGATGGATGAGAATTGAAATGCCTTACTAGTCTGTGATGGACTATAATGTAAAGAACAATTTAAAAACTGTTAGTGATCAAAGTCACCTAACCTTGTATATAGCATCCACTTAAAAGGCCAGTTTCAAGATAACGCCTTTCTTACCTGTTGATAAATGTAACCTGAAGTTAGACATAAAAAGGAATGATTTATGATCTAATAATTTTATTTGTTTGACTTTGTGTATTTGCACTATCATGTCATGCATCATTTTCATAGTCATATGTAACCTTGTGTATCTGCATAATTTTTATATTAGATTTCATCCACGAAAATGTCCATGTCATTCATGCATCACCATATCATGCATAAAGCATAGCATTTCTAATAATACATCATTATGATACTTAAGGTTCAAGAATAATTCCACCAACCAAGAATCTCACATAACCGACTCACCAATATAATACAAAAGTTTCAGAAAAATAGAATAAGAAAATTTTAATCATCTCGAGATGATAGAAAAAGCTTAAAAAAAGTTGGAAGAAGAGTTGAGTAAGATTTTGGATGCCTTAAATAAGTTAAACAAGGGAAAAAAATAAAAAAGAATACTA